TCTCCACTGAATGGATCAACAGTCTCGCCAGCATCATCTAAAACTACTTGCAATATTAGTAAATCCTACATCCTCAAAATTGCTGAACCTACCAGGCATAGTAGGAATAAAGCCAAACTGTGGGGGAAGCGGCATTGTTGGGACGGGCGCAGGTGGTGGAGTAGCAGCACCATTCGTAGACGCCTGATTTAACGGATTGAAGTAGCGAGATCCTGAAACTTAATGCATGATGAACATCAGTGTTATCTACATCACATTTACCCCTTTTTGATTAATTAAACGAACATGTGCGCAGTACTAAAAATCACCTCCGCTTGTGCGAGCTGCACGAAGACCGCCAGAGCTTGAGCTGACTCCGGAAAGACTATCTAACTTAGGAGGTGGGGCAGCCATCGTCTCCTCCTCAACACCAGCTCCCACGTATCGTCCCTTTACGGGATCCCAGACAATCTGCAAATTTTATTCGTAATCATTTTTGCGGCATCTTTGAAAACTCACCGTTGGTTTACTATCGTCCGGCAGTATCATTTCGTTTCCACTGGGAATTGCTTTCAGCAACTTTTCTTTCATGTTCCCGAAAAAACCTTTTGACCCTGATGTAGAGCTGCTTTTCTATAAAAAATAATCGTTTCAAAAAGAGGACGTGGTGCGCCCGTTTCGAAAATCAAGCTACTTTTAAGGAACCTTTAAATGAGAATCCGATAAACCATTTTCATGTGTAGAGGTGCCGGAATGCGGCTGTGGCTGAGTCTGAGACTGATGCTGAGCATGTTGCAAACTTGATTGTGGGAATTGTGTAGGCTAGAAAAAAGATTGCCAATGAAAAAAAAAAACCTAGATAAAAAAAAGATAATCAAACGAAATTGAAAGCACTTGAAATAACTGTATGAAGTTCACTTAATATAAACGAAGAAAAAAATTCTAAAAAAAAAGATAATGAGAAAGGAACATGGCCTCACCACAGGCATTTGAGGAATTTGCGAAAGATCAGGCATAGGTTGAGGCAGCGGTGATGCATTTTCAGCATGGTGATTCTGAAGACAGTTATGAATTACATAA